AACGTCATTGAATGCTCGAAGACACGATTCGAATGGATTATTATGGCCGTAGTTTGTCCTATGATAAGGAACCGCTAGGAGTGGCGAGTGGCGGAAGCGTCTGGGTGGAGCATTCAGTGGAATCTGTTCGAAAAGTGCAGGACAATCGGTGGATCCTTTGATGAGGTCAAAGACAAACTAGCGTTGCATGTTGACTCGCCTGGCAGAAAGAGGTTCGAGTTTAATCAGCTGGCATCGATCGACATAGGGAGGAAGATTTTCTGGATCGTTCCAAGGAAGTTGACGAAGAGCGAATCTTATGAACCTTTTCTGCACACGTTCGATCGTCAGAGTCTGTGTTACGTAATGCGGCGACCAAACTGGTGCAGCGTACTCCAGGATACTGCGCACCAACGAACAGTAGAGTGTTTTTAGAGCATATACATCGGTGAAGTCAGAAGCGTGTCGACGGATGAATCCCAATACCGAAAAAGCTTTGGTTGATATAATCCCTACATGATCGTTAAACCTCAGCTTTGAATCGATGGTGACTCCCAGATCGCAGATCGAATTTACCCGTTCGAGTGTATCTGCGTCCATATAGTACTGATGGTGAGTGACCGATACAGCGAGTGAAAGATATTATCTTGCACTTCTTGCTGTTAACGCGCATGCCGTAGTCACCGCACCAGATAACCATGACGTTTATATCCTCCTGCAAAGCGTCACAGTCTAAAGACGAGGCAATGATGCGATACACTTTGAGATCATCGGCAAAGGAAAGTTTGAATGATGAAAGTAGTATGCACAGGTCGTTAATAAAAATGTTGAAGATTAGAGGACCGAGAACGCTACCTTGCGGTACACCAGACATGATGTTGAATGAATGGGATCGTGCAGAGTTAACAACCACATAAGCATTTCAATTCGATAAGTACGACAAAAGCTACTCTATTATCCAATCGGGGAATCCTATGTGCCTCATTTTATCAGTGACTAGAATGTGCTGTACAGTATCGAACGCTTTAGCAAAATCAATATACTCCGCGTCTACTTGCCTTCTTTGTTCAATTTCACGAGACAGTTTGGTGACGTAACACATCAGATTTGTTGTTGTAGACCGATGTTGCATGCACCCGTGCTGGCTCTCCGAGATAATCTAGGAAGAGGCATTATACAAGGCCTTGTGGACCAACTTTTCCTAAACCTTGCTTAGGCAGCAAAGTTTAGATACCCCACGATAATTATCCACGTGATTACAGGTGCCAGATTTATGGATTGGTACAATCGATGCCGTTTTCCACGCAGTTGGAAAAGTCCTGTCCTGCAGCGAACGGTTGAACAATCGAGCGATTGGAGATGTTAGTGTGGACGAACATTTTTTCAATAACAGTGGAAGAATGCCGTATGTCCCAGGCCCTTTGTTCGTTTCTACATCTTCAAGAGATTTTTGAATTTCTTCTGAAGAAAACTGGAGAACAGGAAGCGTCATGTTATGCGTAGTAATATGGGCAAAGCTGTCATGTCGACGTACAGGTGACACATTAGTGAACACACTCTCGAAGAACTTCGCAAACAGGTCAGCAGCTTCAGCGTTGAGGCAAACATGAGTTCCGTCGTAATGAACGTTACATGGAATCCGGGTGGAAGATTTCTGTTTCCTAACAAAATCCCAGAAAGGTGCAGGGTTTTGTTTCACACAAGATTCAATTCCCGATACATAGTTTCTATATGACGAGAAAAGAAGTTCCTTGTACGACGTTTCCACTTCGCGGAGGTTAACTTTGTCGCTATCAGTCCTTGTTAAGAAGAACCGTTTGCGTGATTTCCTGAGATTATTCCGGAGATGTCTCAGCTCGGTAGTCCACTATGGTTTACTGAAAACTGAGGTAATGGGTTGCCTTTTCCGAGGTACATGCTCGATAAAAACTTCGTACAGCTTTTCATAAAAAACTGCAAGTTTTTCGTCCACTGTTCTGTTCTGCAGTAGAAGATCCCAGCCGATACCAGCAAACGCGTTGTTTAGGAGATCGTAGTCGCATGCTTTAAAATCGAAGTTGAAACTCTCGTCTTGGTCGTCCATTGCAGCCAGATCGTCGCTGCTCTCGGCGAGTAGTAAAATGAATGGCTCGTGATGATTGTCAACGGGTAACAGTGGAGTAGAGGTTACGATGACGTCTAGATGCTCAGGTAGGTTGACGAACACGAGATCGAGAAGTCTACCGTTCATGTTGACGAAACTGTTTATCTGATGGAAGCCGTTAACAAACATATTTTCGATGAGGAATTGTTCGTGTTCCGAAGAAACGTTTAAGCGAATGTAACCATTTATATCACCATCCAAATGCCAGCGCAAATTCGACAGGTTAAAGTCATCCAGTGATAGAATAATGTCACCTTCTGAAGAACGGATTGACATATGCTGAACTGCTTTTGCATGAGCTGAATAGAAGTCGGAGCATGAATTCGGCGGAAGGTAAATGGTGACGATGTAAAGCGAACGATGCCCCAACCTTACGCAAACTGCCACTTGTTCCAGTTGGTCGCAGTTCGGCAAAGTGACAGGTTCACAAACGATGTTGTTTTTGACCGCGACGAGCACTCCTCCTCCACGCGAGTACTGACTGGTCAATTCACTGCGGTCACATCTGAATAAGGTGTAAACCGAAGAGATTTCAGCGCTGCCGATGTCTTCTCGTAGCCAAATCTCTGTGAAAACTAGCACGTCATAATCACAGCCAGACAGTAGAAAGCGTAGCTGAACAACTTTGGTCCGTAAGCCTCTGACGTTCTGATAATAAATAGAGATGAACTGTTCAGACGGATTTGGTTTTGATTTGATTCCAAGCGATGCAATTTGTTGATCGGGTTGACTCCGAACGCTGGCAATATTGTTTTCCACACGAAAACATGGTGGTATGAAGCAACTGGAAGCAGTAGACGATCAAGAAGTGCATAGTTCGTAACGCATACTTGCCTGTAGTAACTGGTTAGAAGACCCCCTCTCCATACTCATACCCAGTGGTCTGATGAATGATGATGCAGGATAATGTGATGAAGGAATTCGGCTGGAAACGTAGCGAGTATCAGATACATAATGGCAAACAGAGGAAGTGAACTTGCCTGAAGTGATGGCCTGGAAGACCCCGTCCCCATACACAGGTCCAGGATGACTGCTGAGCACTGGCCGGAGAGACACGACTGTGATGGGGGGATAAGGGGCTTCCAAATGGCTTGGGTTGTTGCATCCCGGGATGGAACTGTTTATTTTAAATCCACTATGAGAGGCTGACTGATTGATGATTGTTTTTATTTTTCATGGCAGGTTCGGACGTGATGCAGCAGAACCGTTTTTTTGAACATGTTCAAACACACGGACAGTGACTCCTTCTGGCCAGTACCAAGGATCACCCACCACGTTGGATACAGTTTTGCAAACGATCACTGTTGCCGTTGCAGTCAGACCTGAAAGGGTTGCGGTAGCATAACTACCGTGAACGCGCCCCTTTGATGCGCCCGTTTTTGACGTTTCTTGCCATCGCTGTAGCAATGAGGCGCATAGATGAAGGAGATAGATAGATAGATAGATTGAGGAGGAAAATCAGCAAAAAATCCTCGAACTTCAACGGAAGCGGATTGCTAGACGGAAGAAGGCGCTTGAGCGACGGATGGAGCTGACACAGATTATCAACGGTTCTGATGGCGAATCAGATTAAGAGGCCGAAGTTGAATCGGGGAACCGCAGCCGGAGAAGCAGCTCCCGAAGAGTCTAGGTGCGGTTCGCAAAGATCCAAAGAAAAGGTCCGCCGAAAATGATATCCAGGACCTGTTCGATCGTTTCAAGGAACTTCTGGAAGATCGAAATGGAAGTAACCCCCAGAAGCCAGTACCAGGAAAGTCCACAAGAATGAGATCATTGCTTTCTGCAAATCCGAGACTGCCTCGTCCGTCTTTCGAGAAAGATGATGAAGCACTAGAGTCAATCCTCGACGGTGGGGACTACAAAGGCGATAAAGTGGTTGCGGATGGACCGACACGGCTCCAGATAGCGTCTCGACAGGTATTTCCGAGGAGCCTGCCGAAGTTTTATGGAGCAGCAGAAGAGTGGCCGATCTTTATCAGCGCCTACGAGCAGGCAAACCAGTCCTGTGGATTCACCAACGCAGAGAATTTGGTCCGTCTACAGGATGCTCTGAAGGGGAAAGCATTGGATACGGTTCGAAATCGTCTGCTTTTGCCGGAGAACGTGCCGTTGATCATCGAGAAGCTGAGGAAGAGATTCGGGAATCCGGAGATCCTGTCAACCAGATTGGCGACAAAGATCCAGCAGCTAGAGGGACCAAGCTCGGAGAGTTTGGAGTCGGTGATCGAGTTCGGAAGTGCCGTCGAAGAGTTTACTCAGCATCTCAAAGCGGCCGGGCTGGTGGACCACTTGAAGAGCCCAATTTGATGCAGAGTCTAGTTCAGAAGCTGCCGTCGTACTATACCATGGAGTGGGTGGACTACAAGCGACGCGCACAGTCAGTCGACTTGGAAACATTCGGTGCATTCATGGAAGGTCTCGTAGAGAAGGCGTTGGAAGCAACCTTCGAGAAAGCAGATGCAAAGGAGAAGGGTAAGATGCGAAATAGACCACAAACGAAGGCTTTCGTTCACGTCACGGATGGAGATAGCGGCCGGTTGGGAGTGTGATGTCAGCTGGGAAGAATTCGTCACCCCAACCCCAGCGCCGAGAGTTGAAGTGTTCCGTGTGCCAAAAGTCTGGGTATTACGGAAGGAACTGCCAGGAATTGCTCAAACAGAGTGTTGCAGAGCGGTGGAAAACGGTGACTCAGTTGAACCTCTGTCCACTCTGCCTTTACGACCATGGACAACGATCATGTCGTATAAGAGTTCGTTGCAAGGTAGATGGCTGTCCGAAAAACCACAATGCCCTTCTTCATGGTGGACCAGCCGGATACTCGCGAACTCGGGTGCAGTGTAATAGTCATCGTCAGTCGAAATGTGCAGTTCTGTTTAGGATGGTTCCAGTGACGCTGTACAACGGCAAGAAAAGAGTAGATACTCTAGCACTCATCGATGAAGGATCTTCGGTTACCATGGTGGACAGTGAATTGGTGAGAACGTTGGGTGCCGATGGACCAGTGGAACCACTGCAGATGACTTGAACAAACGGCGTACAGCGCACGGAGTATCAGTCGAAGAAAGTGGTGCTTGAGATATCTGCCAGAGACTCGTCGAGTAGATACGATCTGCTGGAAGCTCATACGGTGCACAGGTTAAACCTCCCTGCACAGAAACTGGATTCAGCGAAGTTGGTCCAGGAGTTTAAGCACCTTGAAGACATCGACATTCCCAGTTACGAGAGAACTACACCGAAGGTGCTGCTGGGGATCGATAATCTTCACTTGATCGCCCCGCTGGACTCACGAATCGGAGAATCTGGTAAACCAGTTGCCATTTTGTGCAAGCTCGGCTGGACGGCTTATGGTCCACAACCAAACGTCGTAGGAAAGGTGCATTTTCTGGGACACCATCGGTGCTCGTGTGAGAAGTGCAGCAAAGCGGATAAGGATCTGGATGAGGCGATGAAGAAACATTATCAACTTGAAGACGTCGGAGTGTCACCTATTCGTTTAGAATCGAAGGAAGATCGTAGAGCACGCGAGATTTTGGAGAAGACCACTCGAAGAGTGGGTAGCAGGTTCGAGACAGGATTACTCTGGAAAGAAGATGATGTTCGATTTCCGGAGAGTTTAGACATGGCCATGAAGCGGTTGCGATGTTTGGAGGCTCGGATGAACCGGAATCCTGGAGTGCAGGAATGTTTGCAGAAGCAGTTGGAAGAATATCTTGCCAAGGGCTACGCGCATCGTATCACCGAGCAGGAGTTAAAGGAGACGCCGAAGAGTAAAGCTTGGTACCTACCGCTGAACTACGTGGTACATCCGAAGAAACCTGGCAAGGTGCGGTTGGTCTGGGATGCGACAGCGAGGGCTCATGGAGTGTCGCTTAACGATAAGCTGTTGAAGGGTCCAGACATGATAACGTTGCTACCAGCTGTTATAAGTGGATTCCGCGAGAGAAACGTGGCGTTTGGAGGTGACATTAGGGAAATGTTTCATCAAGCATGGGTTCGTGCAGAAGACCGTCAGGCACAACGGTTCCTATTCGTGGGTCCGAACGGAGCGGTGGAAACGTACGTGATGGATGTGGTTATCTTTGGCTCGACCTGTTCGCCTTGCTCCGCACAGTACGTGAAAAACTTGAACGCGCGGGAACATGCCGAGCAGTATCCGGAGGCTGCCGAAGCTATCGTCCGAAAGCACTATGTCGACGAATATTTCGACAGTGCCGATACAGTAGAGGAAGCGGTGAGACTAGCGATGGATGTGCGACGTGTACACGCCAACGGTGGGTTCGAGATTCGGAACTGGGTTTCCAACTCACAGGAAGTGTTACGTCAGCTCGGAGAGGAGAAGTCTGTGGTGAAACCACTAGAAGTAGACAAGCATTGCGCTACGGAGAGAGTCCTGGGAGTGCTGTGGGACCCGGAAGGTGATCACTTCGTTTTCTCAAAGGAGATTCGCCAAGACCTTCAGCCCTACATTCGGGAAGGTGCTTGGCCAACAAAGAGGATTGTGTTGCGGTGCATTGCCAGCATGTTCGATCCGAAGCAGTTCCTGGCTCCGCTGTTGATACACGGACGGATCATAATGCAGGATTTATGGCGTAGCGGCATAGGTTGGGACGAGAAGCTCACGGAAGCTCACTACAAGCGGTGGGTGCAGTGGACACAGCTATTCCATCTAATCGATGAGATTCGTGTTCCACGGTGTTACCTCGGTGGATTGGACTCGAAGGTCTATGAAACGGTGCAGTTACACGTTTTCACTGACGCTGGAGATGCGGCATATGGATGCGTGGCCTACTTCAGGTTCGAGGACGGCGAAGTCGTTCACTGCGCATTCATCGAGGCCAAAGCGAAGGTGGCGCCATTACAGTACCTGTCTACACCACGGTTGGAGCTAGAAGCGGCTGTTCTCGGTGCGCGATTGACAAAGTCGATCTGCGATGCCCATTCCTTTCCGGTAGCGAAGCGGTTCCTGTGGTGTGACTCGGATACGGTAGTATCATGGGTGAAATCGGACCAACGAAGGTATAAGCCGTTCGTTGCCTATCGTATTGGCGAGATCCTCAGCATCACGAATCCAGAAGATTGGCGTTGGGTAGGAACGAAGGACAATCCAGCGGACGATTTGACGAAGTGGCGAAATTCATAAATCATTTGGGAAGTTTTAATAACATCAGGAATGTCTAGACTATCGATGAAGTTATGAATTAGTGCCGAAAATTTAAGGACAGTTCCACGAAATTCAAAAAAATGTTGAAATCTTCAGTGAAAATTGTAGAACTATATTAACTATTCCGTTTCATTCCACGAAATTTACGGGAGCAAATTGAATCGGGAATTAAAGAAGGAATTTCAGAAAAACTTCACAAAAGTGCGGAGTTCTTCAGAAACATTTCGAAAACTTCATAGTAGTCTATGGAACTTAAGGGAAGATCCGAGCTTCAAAAACTATCTTGAAGATTAGCAAAATGCAAGAGCATTTCAAGACGCTTAGTAAGCTCCAAAATAGGAGTTCAGTTTTATTAGTTTCAGAAAATTTGCAGGATATTAAGAAATTTCCAGATTTTCATAGAATTTCAGAAATGTTAAGAAAATTATTGATATCTTCACACAAGCTCAGAAGATCGTGGATGCTTAAACATGTTTAGGGCAGTTCAATTAAATCAGGGCAGTACAACAAGCTTTATGAGAACTTCAAAAACTTCGACAACGTAAGGAACAGAGTGCCTCAGAGCAGTTCCGTTAGCATTAAATAAATTACATAAATATAAAGAAGTTTCGAGAGCTTGAGGGAATTGTTAAAACTATCATATAGGGTAGGCCTGTGGAAAATTAGATCTTTTATTTTTGTGAGCCAGTCTAATACAAATACAATAAGAACCGTTACTATTAATAAAACTCGAAAGCCATTTGGGGGTGGTTCACCCCATATTGATATTTAGATTTTTAATATCAAAATGTCCTAAACATAAAAAAAATACTCAGTATGATACGGAAGCATGCAGAACGATAGAGACCCCATAGTTACTTGATACCATTCAATTTGTTTACGTAGAAATTTATTTTTATACTTACATTATTAAGTGATCAATTTGCTCCCTGATTACGGTACTTTGCAGCTCGACATATTATTATTACCACCGTTGCAATATGTATCTTTGAAATATCTTTTCGAAAAAATAAGTACATTAGTGAAACTCGAACCGTCCGCACCAACAGCTAAGTCGAGCATTTGATTTTAAAGCAGAATTAAGTAACTTTCCTTAATAATAGGGTTAAACGTGGCATCAGCCATTCCCACGCTTTAATTCGCGACTAGTGCGGTTTCAGCTGAAGCAATTAAAAACCTATCAGATTTCCCCCGACAGAAATCCGGATTAAACCCGCTGTTGCTGCTGCTGGCGCTAGATTGCAAGGGAAAATTGCAAACGATGCCTCTTCCTGCCGCTGCTACTTCACCCACCTCGCGGCTGCTGCTATCTGAGCAGGTAATCTTTCATTAAGGCCAACTCTCAGATCGGTGTAGCCGTCGTGAAAAACTGAAGCCTTCATCATCAAGCGCGGTCGCATCAGCACAGGCACAGGTGATGCTTTCCGTGGATCTCCTTTCCACGTTCAACAAGCGATAATACCTCAACGGAAGCGGGAGAGGAAAAAAAATGACGACGAACAGAGATCCCTAACTTCTGTGGCTGAACTGCTATGTATGTGCATGCAAACGCCGCGGCGGCGGATGTTGTTGGAAACTCATCAAGGCGAATTTAATACTCCGTGACCGAGATATGTTGCCGAGCTCGCGAATTTAGGCTTGCAGAGCTAAAACCTGCCAAAGACCGAGGGGTCGCTCGATTCCCAAACGATGGACAATCGGAATCATAGGCTGAGACACATGAGCTGCCTGCGTATCCCTCACAACAGGCTGATATCTTCAAACTGATTGGAGGGTTCTTTTTTTCCCCTGAATCTGATGGCCATCGCGTTCTCCATACAACGAGCCTCGGTCACCATTTTTCATTATTTTGTTTCATGATGCGTACCAAAGCTGTTTTGGAGTCGGTTTCGCCTAGTCCATCTCGATTCCCTCTAGTCACCGGACGTAGGAGAAGACAGTCCATAATGCACCCCTGGGATAAAATGGTCCTGTGCAGAGCAGCTTAAGTAACTAGCATTTTGGCACATACCATCTTGCGATTAGTAATGAGAAAGCTTTGAAAATCCGCGTGGGGCCATTTTAACCTCAGGGGTGCATTATGGACTGTCCTACACTAACCACCTAAACAAAACAAAAAAAATCCAGAAGCGAACCAACCTCGTCGAACAATGCATTGAATGGTGTCCCGATGCTGCTGAAGCCTAATTCTCGGCAGCAGCGTATGCGGGAGGTTTTCCCACCTACCTACTGTTATTTTTGGGGAGAGAACAGACAAAATGCACAGCGTCGGGTTCATGCAATACTGTCACAACTCACAATAAAAATCGTCGAAAATTTGACGTTGTTTTTGATTTTTCATGTAGAGTTTGTGAAAATACGGTGTAATACCGTGACATAATTTGGCGTTTTTATCCTTTTAAGCGATAGAACGGAAAAATGGGAAATTTTGAGTTGTGACAGTATTGCATGAACCCGACGATATGGACTTCGATGGCTGGTGTCAGTTTGGAGAACGTTTCGCCATGTGACAATAGAGTGCGATGAATGGAAATTTACAAAACTAGCTTTGGGAACACGGTACATGTGGATGTGGAAGACCATATGAAGGCCGTTGATACATCCATCATGTGGCATTAAGAGAATGGCTTTATTCTCGAATGAATGACATTTTGATGGGATTTGCTGGAATCGATATTTCCGAAAGTGGGTTTCGGTGGGTATCATTTTTTTTTTGGTGAAATATTTATTGTATGCATCTTACTCAAAGTGATAGAGTAGAACTAAGCTCGATCATTAAAATCGATCTAATCTATGTTAGAGAATGGAAGCCTTTTTGGTGTAGTTTTCCTCCTAAGTAATTGGTTAATACTTTCCACCCTTAACATCCGATAGGTGTCACCCCACCAGTGATGGATAAACTAGTTTTACACTATAAAGATTTCAGTTTGTACTTCTTAGTTATAGAGACAAAGTGTACAAATAATATGCGTTGCGTTGCGTTTGTAACGGAGTAATTCGTAGGTTGCATACTGGAAACTGTCATGTATCTACTTCAACATTCTTATTCTGATTGCTTAAGGATAACTATTTGTGAGTGATTAATTCTCCAATCAAAGTTCAGAACAGAAAAAGCATGACATTTACCATTGCCGGCCACACCCATCTTCCCCGTTACAAGGAAAGGAAGGATATTTGTTGGCGCCAAAGACGACGAGGTGGCCACCCTGATCAAGGACGTTCCTGAAGGGTGTAGCGCAACGGTCGAAGCTGTCAGTGTCAGCGAGTAAGCGTCTGGCAACACGATCGAAGGAGCCGACTTCCGGAAAAAGGAGAAAAAAGGTAGTGCAAGTAAGCAGTGAACACGCATGATTTTGCTACAGATAAAATTTGTTTTTCCTATTACTACAATCATTAAACTAGATTAAGCTATATTCAGCTAAAGTAGGGATAACGGTAACTTGATTATAACTAAAAAACTTATGTAGACTAAAATTAATTGCCTTAAAAATATTTTTTTTTTTTTTTTATTAATTACTTTATTTGTACAGGCTCAATCGAATAAACTTTACAGAGCCGAGTTATCATTTTTGTTATACATTATTGATTTCTTACATTTAAAGTTAAAGGAGCTGGACCGGATACTCGCGGTTGTCTCGAGGTTAGTGGGGATTTACATTTTTTTTGGATGGGAAAAGGGAGAGGGAGGTTTGAAATGTGGTTTACGATACAAATATTTAATTAATCCTAAAACATGAACGAATTTCTATTCATCTTGAAAACAAACATAAAAAAACCCACACGTACAAAATACAAACTAAACACATGGTTAATAAAACTTACAATCTAATGTTAATATTCTTAAAGTAAACATATATGAGTTTCATAAACTCCAGATCGCGTCTAGCCAAAATATCCCGAACTGGAACATTAGGTTGTCTACCTCGAGCCCGAAGGGAATCGTACAGTTCAGATCTGACTCCGCGATGCTCAGCACAAGACCAAATAATGTGATCTGCGTCCTGGTAACCTTGTCCACATTCACAGAGACTGCTGTCCTTCAGCCCAACACGGAACAAGTGAGCGTTTAACGAATAGTGATTGGACATGAGGCGAGACATCATACGAATGAAGTCTCGACCCACATCCAACCCCTTGAACCAAGGACTCTTCGACACCTTAGGGATGATCGAATATAGCCATCGTCCCAAACTCCCTTCACTCCACTTATTCTGCCAGCTGACGAGGTACTGTTGACGATAAATGAAGAAAAATTCATCGTAGGCGATTTGTCGATCGTAAATATCGCCTTCCATAGCGCCCACCTTAGCAAGTGAGTCCGCCATCTCATTGCCCGGAATCGAGCAATGAGATGGGACCCATGCAAAGGTGATGACAAAAGATCTTAAAGATAAAGCACTTAAAAGCTCTCGTATTTTCATGAGAAAATACGAGGAGTGCTTTACCGGCCTCATGGAGCGAATAGCCTCGACAGAACTGAGACTATCCGTAAAAATAAAATAGTGATCTGGTGGAAGTGAGGCGATCGTTTCTAGCGTATAGTATATTGCCGCCAGCTCAGCAACATATACGGAACAAGGAGCTTGAAGCATTCGAGAGGCACTATGAAATTCGTTAAAAATACCAAAACCAGCGGACGACTCTATTAGTGATCCATCTGTGAAGAACGATCTTGCGGAATCAACTTGGCCAAACTTTGCAGCGTAAATTGACGGAACAATCATAGAACGATGATGTTCTGGGATCCCACGAATCTCCCGCGTCATGGATAAATCAAAACTAACTGAATTGCCGAAGTCGGAGAAGCATACACGATGAGGATTATGCTGTGAAGGGCTGACATCCAGTGTTATGTACACGTAGTACAATGACATAAAATGAGTTTGAGGGTTTAGCTCAAGAAGCTTCTCAAAGTTTGCAATCACCAGTGGGTTCATAATTTCACAACGGGTGAGGAGCCTGA